TAAACAAATCTCTATAACTGTTTGCATTCTGCTTTCATAAAATTCAGGTGATAATGAAACCCACTGTTCTCTTTTAATCCAGAATGTAAATCTTGTTTTAGGTTATAAACAAATGGTCCTATTCCTTAACTGATGGAGGATGCTAGTGACACAGGTTGCGTCCAGCTCATTTGGGAAAAGGCAATCTTCTTTAGCCCAGGAGGAGGCCCCCGCACGGCTGGCTGGAGGGGAGGACGCTTGCCGTGACATACACACTGCCAACAGGCAGCAGAGAAGCGAGGGGGGAAAGGCGTGGGCTGACCGACCCTCCTGTTCTCAGGACAGCCAAATAGTTCAGTCTGAGGTGGTAATACCGAATGAGAGTAGGTGCAAGCCTTGCTGGGCATCGCTTTCATCCTCCTGAGTGGCAGAAGGGAAGGGCACACAGGGAGGAGAAGAGGCTCTCTGTTACTTTGGTGTGTTTCCCCTGCTTTTTCTCTTACCCAGGAATGAGTGTATTTTGGATATTTAATGGCTAGGCTGGATTGGATTGGATAGTAGACTGAAAATTATATGTATATTTTCACTTCCATGAGGGGAGATGACACAACTGGTGAAGAAGTCTAAACTTTTCCTGCTCCACACCGAGATTTCTCCCAGTGCAGAGTGGGGAAAGAGCCAAACGGTCAGAGTCAAAAAAAAAGGGAATTTTTGTGATCAGGTGCAAGGTTTTGCAAACACAGGATAGGATTTGTTATCCCTGGATCAGCTGTGCATAAAAGCGATGGCGGAGAGGGTGAGGAAGTAGAAGGGGAACTGCTTCTTTTAGCAATATCCAAATTATCTGAAGTGTCTTTGAAAAGTATTCCAGGATTCCCCTATTGAGGTCTGATACAGAGACCAGGTTTTAGGGAACAACGTTGCACTTTGATGTAGCTGGAGCACAACTCAAGGTAACATCCTTCATATATGAATAAACAAGATGCTTCTGAGACAAACAGGTAACGATGCCCTGGACCTCACAGAAGGGATCTGTTGTCTTCTTATTACAATTCACCCTTGTTCACAACCTTGAGAGTATTGCAGCTACCTGGTCTACTAAACTGTTTTGGGGATCATTCTTTGCAACCCGTGTCTGACTATTTGGAGTCCTGCAGCTCTGGGAACTGAAGAGAATCTATTGAAAGACAGCTAGTGGTAGTCTGGAAGAATACGTCTGCTAAAAACCTGATGATGGCAAAAAGAGAGGTTGTGAGTAGCATTGCGCTCTCTTGTGAACATGTCCAGTTGAGGAATTCTGCAAAGGCTGTTGGAAGATCTGCTTATGGTGGGTAATTTCCAAATATTTCAGTAAGATTCTCTGCCTTCCTGAAAAAGGTTTATACCCTCCTGTTGCAGAAATTCCTGATGTGTTTTGCTTTTTTCTGTGGTTAAGTGTTAAAATCAGAAGACAAGTGTATTTCAGAGAGGAAAATAAACCTGACAGTTTCCAGAGATCCATTGGGGTTCCAGTAGTCTTATTTAGATTGTCTTGCAGTTTTGGATTGTGAAATGATTCTAGTTAGATCCTCATTGTAGTCTTAAAGTAAGAGCCATCAACCCGGAAAAGGAGGAGTTGGACTGAAACAGGTGCATCCAAAAGAGACACTGATTTTCTTCACTTTGCAGATTGCTGCTGTGGTCAAGTTAGAGTCTTGGAGGCCTCTGAGCGAAAAACAAAACCAGAAGTGGTTGAAGGAGTTGATTTGGGCTCAATATTCTGCGTACAGTTTGTGAGAGAAGTTACAGGAACAGCTCTGGAAATTTTTACTTTTATTTTTTGACATAGATTATTAAGGCAAATAACTGGATTACATAGGAGAGATTCATGGCAGCAAAGAATGCTCTTTGGAGAAAGCAGTTCTCAGACATGAAGATATAAATAAGTACTTACCAGCCTTCTGTAATTCACTAAAGAACCAATTCTGCAAGATATGTCGATACTTTTTAAATGATCCAAAGGAAAAATTCTGGTCCGTACATATCCACCTAAAAAAAAGCCTCAGTAAAGCTATCTAAGATGCTACATCTATGGGATGCAACTCACTTATGGTGGGTGCATTCAGACATGATGAAAGAAAGAATCACCTGTGCTTACTAGTCAGACATCCCATCTAGAGGAGAAAGAAGGCTGGATTTCATTTCCCAGTGAGAAAATCTCTGAAAGAAAATGGTGAAGTGGGGTGAAATGTGGCAATAAGGGTTAGAGATGGATAAAATAATATTGGTCATTAAATACTAGTTCCTCTATTCTGAGTTTATGAGCTTATGTTACTTAACTCCTAAGGAGAGGGAGACAGCTGCCAAAGTAGCAATGAGAAAAATATCCATTACAAATTCACATGTGGAATTTGGCCGTGGATGTTGGCGATGCCAAGATTCCCCATACCTGATGCTTACACGACCACTCCTGTGCAAGCCGTTAGCTCAGGCATCACCTGCAATCTGGTATCTAAGCACTGGTATCTAAGACTGAATTACAGCATTCAGCAGTGCTGCAGCTGTGCAATGTAAAGACCAGGCAAGAAAATGGCCCTGACCTCTTTTATTGATCGCAAGATATCCCTTTGCCACCAAAAAACCCTCTTCAGCGGGAAAATATTCTATTGGGGCTATTAATCACTAATTTAAACCAGAGGCTGCAAGTAGTAGTGACAAGGGGGCTCCGTGGGTTTGCGACACCAGCTGTGTCACATGCAGTCCTCAGTCCGTTTCTGTGTTGTCATCTATCACAAATTATGTCTACACCTTCTTTCTAAGATTCTCCAGGAACATCTTTTATTTCTTTTGGTTAACACATTGCTAATTTGGGTCATCATTTCTATGAAATTTTTCTGAGGACAGAAGAAGTGGTAGAAGTCTGTCTCGGATTAGAAAGAGCACTAAGATAACATACTATTAAATTATTAAACCTCCCTCTTTATGTTACAGGTGAAAAATATACCTTCAGACCTAGCAGCTCTGACAGCCTTACCCACTTGTCAAATTGGGTTGAAACAGGAGAGCCAAATTGTCTTGATCTACCCATTACTTTCTTAGATGCGCTGTCTCAGATATAGGATGTCTAGAACATAGTATTCATCACTTGATTAATAACCTAGTTAATGAAATTTCTATGAAAAAGAATTTGTTAAAGGCTGCAGAAAAGAGGAGTGCCAGAGAAACTGAGGCCATGACTGCTACGTGGGGCAACCAGTGACAGAACAGGACCCTGGTGCCGGAGCCCTCTGCCTTGCAGAAGAGCAGGTGCCGAAGGGGAGAGGGCAGCCAGGAGCGAGGCAGCAGGGGCTACCAGGGCTGCTGGGGCTGCAAGAGAAGCCAGCAAAGAGGGCTTGATACCCAGACACCAAGCACCCCCCAGGAGGGATGCTGAAACGTTATGCAAAAGGGAACTCAGTATTGGTGGCATCTCAAATGACAGCTGTACTGCTAGGTCCAGCTACTGCTCAGGAAAAATACTGCAAGCTCTACCTCGAAAGGTCAACGTTAAAGTGCCCATAGAAGAAGTATAAATTTCCCAAAGGAAGGCAGAGGGATGTAGCAGTGAAAAGAGATTAACTCCTCCTTGTTAGCACTGCTGGTCAGAAGGATTTAAGTAGTAGGACTTCTGCCTCCACAAAATAGGAAAAAATTATGAAGAAAGGTCATACATGTTTTTTCTCAGCAGCTGATTTCCTCTAGGGAGCTGCAGATCTAGCAAGAGAGACCTTCAGTCCCACCCTAGAGAGGGAGTCTGTGGGAAGGGTCTATACATGCACAGTATCAAGTGGAGGCCACTTTTCCGCTAGCTGGGGTAAGCCCCAGAGCCTGGCCCCACGTTCTGCTTGGCCACAGACCTCCTGGGTGACCACGGCAGAGACCTGGAGGAGAGCAAATTAACAGTGATTTCAGCCCAAGCCTCCTGGGACTCCTCAGGACCTCTCCGGGTGACCCCTGTGTCCTGAGTGCTTCCTACCTGCCTAACACAGACAGGATAGAGATGTTGTGGCCAGTGTCTGAAATTCCATAACAAAAGAGGCCATAGTGACTTTGGGTCTAGAGTTAAATTCATATATTTGCAACTGTACCTGGGACACTCAGGAGTTAGTGATTAATCCATTTTATTTTCCATCCAGGCCCTGATGGGTAGATTCAGGGAGTACCAGAAGGAGAGATCCTTTTAGTTTGTTCCTTCTTCGCACTGCACGTTTTCTCCCACCTTTACTGTGTGGCGTGTCAGTGTGTGTTTGTGCACGTGTGTGTGTGAGGAATACAAATGGGATCATTCCTTTATGCACTGGTGACAAATGCCAGGTACTTTCATCTCTTCCCTTGAGGCAAAAGAAAGAATCCCATTGAAATTCATCTAAGGTACTAATTTTAATTTGTGTTTCTGTTTGTTCTCTACGTTGTCTTTTTAGATTCGAAAGTTGCATAACCTTTCCTTGCCTGTACTTCTCCTGCCTGCTTGGCCCTCTTTCTTATCCCTTGATCTAGGCGAAACTTAAGATACTTTGCATCGTGACCACCTTAGGACAACATATAACCACGAATGGGGTTTTCCCAGCTGTATGATGCAAACCTTGATCTTTAGTAGTCTTCCCTAAAACCAAAAAAGCTTAAAAGCAACAGTTACTAATCTTCAGTTTGGAGTGGATAATTCCTGGCACCAGGTTTTTTCCTCCAGGGACATATGTTCACACACGTGGCATTTCCCTAAGGCAGCTACTTCCAGTTTTTATCCCTGGCACTTGGGCAGCCCCACGCACAGACCTGGGCCTGACCCCTATGCCTGTCATCTGATTTTGCAAAGTGTTGATCCAACCACAGCCTGGAGAAAGAGAGATCTTTTATCTTCAGGTAACCCAATTCCCAAAGATTTTCAGGGCTGAGTGAGATTGTAACAAGCCTCTGATTGTGAAAGTAACCAGGGGATAAATTCTAAAAGTAGTAAGAGATTTATCTGAATAGCAGGTCCTTCAGGCACGAAGCGCAATTACATCATGGATATGGACCAGATGCTTCTCTCAGGTATGACACACTTCTCTCTAAATCTAAAGAAATGCTTTGAAGCCAATTCCAAAAACACACACTGAGTTACCAAAAAAAGAAGCAAAGGTTTTCCAAGAGCTCAGGCTATTAAGTCATGATTGAGATATCAAAGGTGTGAAGCAGGTATGCAAATCTGGTCCCCAAGTTATCAACAAATTACATTTCTATTGTTTTTACACTCCCTTTCTCCTCTTCCAGACATCCCCATCTCCCTTGTGTTTAGTGATTTTCATGGCCGCAGTTTACAGTTCTGTATTGGTCTGAATATCCCTATTGTAGCACGCTTTGAGCCTGCCACAAATCTTTACAAGCCACGTGACAGTCATCTGAACTGCACCGTCGCACATATTCCAGTAGTGTTACATTTCTCCTACTGTCGCCTTTGTTTCTTCTATTGAAAAGGAGTAAGCAACAGAGGGAAGAGAGAGACTTACCATTTTTGCTCAATGTTGCCTCATTCGTTGTTTTGAATATTTTCATTCAGTAAACCATTAAGAGATTATCTGAGAATAAGGGAAAATAATTTTTCTAGTAATAAGATTGGGCCTGATCCAAATTCACTGGCGTTAAAGAAAAGGCTCTTAGTGAATTCCATGGAATTTGAATGAAGGATTAATCCCTCGGTCTCAGCCAAAGAAACTCTTGCCAACTTTAGTAGAAAATTCCTGGAGTAAGGAACTTAGGTATTTGCATCTTGATGTCAATAAAATAATAATAATAATAATACATATGCGTACAACAGATAACTTAGCAGATCTCAGTGATATCAGTAAACCACACATGCTCTTAACCTAAATACAGAAGTTTAAAAATTCTAAATTAATTTATTGTCTGAAGTGCAATATAGCAGTAGCTTGCATAATAGGTATAGAATCAACTGTATCATCCTAAATCTGAAGACCTCAGATTGTTTGTCCATAAACCATAAAAAGTAACTGTAAACACGAAAAACATTTAATACGAGTGGATAAAGGGAAAAATTATGATAAGCCTGTTATGTGTTTAACATGTCCTTTAGAGAATTCTTTCTATCTATTTTAATGTGGAATGATCTAAACCTTATTTTCCTCCACCTGAGAAAGCAACCTGACCCTTGGAAGCTATGTATTTACTCCCCAGAGCTTTTCTCCTTCACCCTGCTTTCTGGGAGTTAATAGCGTACAGTACAATAAACGGCATTGCCTACACCTATAGAACCGGGTAATGTGATGCTGTGTGGTCTGGAAAGTCATTTAAACAAGATTATATTGTTCACGGGGTGCAGAACAGCCCCGCTAGGAAACCACAAAGAAAACAAAATATAGCTGAATAAAATCCGTTGAATTTCAGAACCTCTCCCCAATATCAGCAGGTGTGAGCGAACGGCAGCGGGCAGGAAAGCTATGCTCGGAAGATGACATTAGCACATTGCAAGCAGACACCTAAGAACCACCGAGCCTGTGTTTTCTTTGAGACCTTCCCACGGTCCACATTTCAGCTAGGATGGATTTTTAATTGGTGAAGGAGGGCGATTTTTTTTTTTTTTTTCCCCTGCTGGGGGCTCCACCCACCGCCTCGGTATTTATTGCTCTACAAATTGTAACTTCCTTCTCGTTAGAGTAACGGGCCGGCCGTAAATCAGCGCCGGGGGCCGGGGGAGCGAGGGGCAGGGGCTCAGCAGCAGCGGAGGCGTTGGACCGCGTAGGAAAAATCAGATCCCGAGTCACAGCAGCGTTAAGGCTGAATCCTTGCAAAAATGTGCATTTGGAAAGCTTATCACAGGTTAAAGTTAGTATTTTTAGGTTGGGGAGGGGGCTTTCAAAATTTTGCGTTTTTTTCCCCCGTGTTTCCATTTACGCAATACTTAAATAGGAATATTCATTGCTTCGTCCTAAAGATCTCAGACGTATATATCCGACTATGCGGTGCTTCTCCGGGGGCAGTCGGTGCTTTGTGTGCTGCAGCGCACACGCTGTAGGGATGCAAACATCTGTCCCAAATGCTCGCTTCTACCCGGTGACTTGCCCGGAGAAATGCTGGGTTCGTGGCTTAACTGGAAGAAGGCTTAGAAATATTCCCTTAGCAAGATCAAGGCATAAAGAATAATAGACACCTAACATATTCCATTTAAAATCACACGTTTCGAGCGAATTAATAGATCGTTATCGGTTGTAATTCTAATTTAGTTACATACGGTCTAGAGCCCATTCGCCCCTCCGCATTAAGTAACAGACTCAAACTGCTCTCTGGTTATTACTTTGGGGCTACAAGGAGCTCTGGGGCATAATTAAAAATATTTCCAGAAAGAATCGGTAGACCACATCTGACGTCCCACCCCCTGTTAGAATTAGACCACATCAAAGGGACCCTTTTTGTTTTCGAAAATGGTCACCAGACAACTTAAAATATACAAGAGTGGGCTTATGTTTTATTGTATAGATGTCTGACTAGAGCAAAACGACTTAAGGTTGCTTGCTGTTCAGTGTTGTACCAAGTGAGACAAGGTAGCTGCAGCCCTTTGGTATTTCCGTGGCGGTCGTATTCATTTCATTTGAAAGGGAACCATTAATGATAGACCTATAAGTGTTCCCCTCCCTAATAAGTAGAATACACATCGCTTGGGAAGCCTGTCTGTGTCAGATGCCCAGGGCGGAAAGATTTGTAGATGATGGTGCTAATTATGAAAATGTGATCAAGATGGAAGCAATTTGAGCAAAAGTCATTAACGTGTTACTCTTCCACCCACTGGTCTTTTTGGGTTTATTATTGCGGGGGGAGGCGGGGAGGATCTTGCGGGATTGGTTGTGGGGGTTTTTTTTTTGTTTTTTTTTTTTTTTTCAGAGCACTAATGAAAAAATGCCCTGCAAATCGCAAACTGTAAAATGTCAGCTGCACATGCCCAGGGCGATGCGCTAGGCTCGGGACGAGACCTGAGATGTACTCGCAAGGCCGGCTGTAATTGCTGGAAGCGGTTATGTTTTATCTCGCCCTTGCGCCGCGCCGGTGGCAGCAGCTCTCCGCCGACCCGGGGCGTGCGAGGGGCTGGGTTGCTGCTGCCGCTTTCGCCTTGTGCGCTGC